GTTCCCGTGGCCCTGCCAATGTGTGACGAAGGAGGAACACCATGGGGTTTTAGTCGGTGCGAGTCCGACATAACCCATCCTTGCCCTCGTGAGGCGGGTATGCGTAAGCATTTCCCCATGTAAAGAAAAGGTATCGCACACGTCTTATTAATTGCACTCTCGTACATTCGACACTGCTCGCCGTCACCAGTCTGGGTTTTTACGTCTGATGTAAACTAGATGATGTTTCTGCCATCTAACGGAAGCCATGCGATATTTCTGCAACATCTTATAGTAACCGCTTACGACAAATGAATCTATATATTTAGTGTTATATTCAATTATTTGCTTTCAAATGTACTTTCATAAATTCATATAACATCTAAGATATACATTGATACATACAAGATATATATACATTTGAAATGAATGTAATACTACCCTATGATCCTTGCTGGTCGAAATAAATAAATAAAATATATTCATTAAGGGCTTTTAAAAATTTAAAGCAATATAACATTTAAAAACAATAGTCCATACTTTCCCATTGAAGTTTTTTTTTAATGTTTCAATGCGCAAATTTCACTAAACATATCATGCGTTAATATTGATCGATATTTCACTACGGTATTATCTCGTTCTTCCATACGAATAAAAAGTACAATGTAGCAAGAACTCTTGTTTGTCTCTCAGTGCGGACGTCGTGAAGAGGGAACATCGAATGAACTACTCGGATGTAATCGAATCTACGCATCAATGCTCATTCAATAATCGAAACATGTCGGTGTCACCGGACCACTCAGTACCTTTCACATTTTGTTAATCTTGTTTATTATTATTTTTATTTTTATCTACAAATATTATTTTAAAATGCAATCTTGGCTTGGACGAAGTAATAAGAAATTTTATCTTAACGTCATGCATGGTTTAATAATTTCATAATATAAGTGTATATGTTTTTTATAGCATAGGGTGACAAACGACCACACAGTCTACCTGATGGTAAGTGGTTGCTGTGGTGCATAGGCATCTACATCTATCCTTGTCTGCGAATCAAAATGCAGATGCGTTGTCACCCGTGAGGACTAAGATGGAATGCCTCTTTTCCAGCAAAAAGGGTCTCCGGTTCTCTACACTCACCATACGAAACACAGCAGCGTTAAGCTGCTATTTAACGCTGGTATTCTGTGAGAGCGTGGTCCTTCCCCGGTCGAGCCAACCCATTCGTGCTACAACTATATTACTAATATAACTGCAGCATGGCTCTACCACGTATAAAAAGTGTTTGTAGAGAAAGTACCACTAAAGGATATCATCATCACTACCACTTCACAAGTCCTAGATGAACATAAGCTTCTTCCAAGGAATGCCAAAAAACGAGGTTCTGAGCTACTTGCATCCATCTACTTCTTGCATATCTTACCAGATCTTTAATCCATCTAGTAAGGGGAGGGCACCCTACACTTCGCTTTTCGGTACAAGGCTACTACTTAAGAACCTTTATTCCTCATCGGCTGTTGGTGCTTTGAGCTATATGGCTGACCCACTGCCACTCTAGTTCTACTGTTGATATCAACGTCATTTGATTTTATCAAGCAAAGAAACTCCGAACATAGCCCCCTCCATAGCTCCCTCAGAAACTTTAATCCATCGATTTTGATTATGATGATACATAATAAAACAATTTGTCCAAGGTAAGTTATATAGACAAACATAAAATATTAACAGTACGTATTGTTATGTGCTCTGTGTTCTAAATCCTTTTCGTAAACCGGCTTGCTTGCAAGCTGGAAGACGTCAATTCTGTATGCGAAACAATTTGTAATGAAACTCGAAAATACGAGTAGCACGCAGACGCGACTCAGCAGTAAGATCGGTCTCAAGTTCTTGAATAGAGCGTTGTGTCTTCCTTGAAGGTTGAACAGCATCAGAAGGACCGTAAGTACTTACCGGTTTTCCACACGCTTTAGAAAAACGCCGCAAGAGTGTCATTTTCATCCGAGTGCCGAAGCCAAGTAAATGCAGCATGGGGTGAGTATTTATGTAGGTTGTGTGTTCTGGGTAACTATTTCATTTTCTTCCAATTCCATGAATTTTCTTACAATTCGACAGGTATTTAAAATTGCGGCTTTTTGAAGTATAATGTGTGTTGAGTCTTTCAGGTCTATTAATTTGAGGCTATGGTGGAGATGGTTGGGTATAACGCCCGTGGTGGAGACGACTATGGGTACTATATAAACTATATTTTGTCTCCAAATTCTGATCACTTCTTCTTTAAGCTCTGCATATTTGCTTATCTTCTCGCCTATTGTTTTTTGTAAGTTATGTATGTTGGGTATTGCAATATCTATTAGGTAGGTGATTTTACTTACTTTATCGTGTAGTGTTATGTCTGGTCTATTATAGTGAATGGTCCTATAGGTAAGTATGGCGCGGTCGTAGTAGAGTTTGTGTGTAAGATTTTCTAAAACAGTGTGTGGCGTATATTTGTAGTAGGGTGTGTTTGTGTCTTGTATAAGTTTATGTTTGAGTGCTAGTTTTTGATGAATGATGTTTGCTACTTGGTTGTGTCTGTGAGTGTAGTCTGTCTGTGTGAGAGTTGTACATGTACCCCTGTTATGTGTTGTATTGTCTCTGGTTGGGTGAAGCACTTGCGGCATTTGTCGTTGGTTACTGTATTATTATGGCTGCAGCACAGATGAATCTGCTCGAACAAGGAAAGACTACGTTCTTATATGAGTGTAATACCAAGGTTAAATTGCAGCATTATAGTAGCTTATGGTGGTATGGATTATAGCGAATCTGAAAACAATTTCACTGGTAACAAGGAAATTCATCTTAGTCCTTTGGGGTAACAACGCAACTGCGTTTTGATTCTTCATCCCTAATGGTTGTAAGTGCTTATGGTGCACAGTATCCACTTGCTGTATGTGTACTCGTTTGACAAAACAAACAAGCAAACCATTTTTCTTCTATAAAAATGCAATCTAATATATAAAAGTTAACTTTTTAACATTACACGTGGTAGAGCCATGCTGTAGCTATATTATTAGTATAGTTGCAGCACGAATGGGTCGGCTCGACCGGGGAAGGACCACGCTCTCACAGAATACCAGCGTAAAATAGCAGCTTAACGCTGCTGTGTTTCGTATGGTGAATGTAGAGAACCAGAGACCCTTTTTTACTGGAAACGAGGCACTCCATCTTAGTCCTCATGGGTGACAACGCATCTTCATTTTGATTCATAATCGAGGATAGATTAGATGTTTATGGGCCACAACAACCACTTACCATCAGGTGGACTGTGTGCTCGTTTGTCGCCCATATCCTATAAAAACAAAAGATTGCACTAAAACATTGTCAACTTATTAAGCTTGCATTTGTGCAAAGGTTATAAGGCATAGTACAATTAACGTACAATAGGTGGCGTGCGTATCGTACCATCAAATTAATTTGAATTCAAACCATTCAACATTGAACTTCAAAGAACGTATTATCATTCCTAATTAAACAATATTACTCTAACAAATTTAAAACCATATTTCGGCAATTATTTTTTCTGTGGCAATAACGCGCCGGGTACTAGGTATAGTTATATAAAAAAAAAAACACTTACGCACGAACATATAAGCACTCAGTTTTCCTAACCTACTTGTATTCGTTATAACGCTTATTCGAAAAGATGACACGAGGCTTGAACATAGTGTAACCATACAAAATTACAATAAAAGACATACAAACTCGCTACAATTACTACTAGACAGGGCCAATGTTTTTCACAAACAATTTGGAGTATTTGCTCGCAGAAATCGTGACTCAGCCGTTAAATATCACAAAGACAGGCGTCATAAAACGGTTAAAGTAATATTATAAAGAAAGAGTAATTCGAGCAAATATTGTAACATCATATCTGTCCAAATGCTCTGGAAAGCCCTAACGCAACATTGACGATTGATTCTTATGGGGTAAGGGCAGTTTTACGACTGTGTGAACAACGCAGATTATGTTTCTTGACCTCGTCAATATTATTTATGTACTTAAGTTTATTTTGTTCTTTGTAGTGCGTGTGAAATGACTTTATCACAGATGAGCTCCATTGTGGGCAACCTTGTTGAGTTCTCTTAAAATATGTTGCATTTTAATTTGAAATATATATAATATAATTATTAACAATTAAACTTGTATTAAAATTTATAAATTAATTGTACAGCAAATTAGCTAAAAGTATGTATGTAGACACGCATTATTGAATAAATGCATCGACTTTTATAAGAATAAATACCGGGAAATTAATATCTTCCACTTTTAGATTTCCTGGACCCGGGATTTAATACAAAAATTACTAGCCCACTCAACGAAGACTAAAAACTGCCAAATAGGGGAAATAACTCGTGTAAAATCGATTTTTGGCATAGTTGTAGGGAATGGTATCTTAAACAACATACTCAGAGTACTGATGGATGGGGGTGAAGCTAACGGGTAGGGGGGATGTAAAGGTCCCTTTTTTAAGTTTTTTTTAAATAACACGTAAAAAGTGGCTAATAGCAAAATAATTTCTGTTATTCGAGTAACCTACATAAAATTCTCTACAAAAAAGGTTTGATACACTTATTCACTGTGATCAATATTTAACGAGATATTAAAGGAGAAAAGTGAATTATGATCAATTCTCGCGTTTTAACGTTCGGGAATGGTTCAGTGAACATCTCCCATTTCCAAAGTTGAATTCGATAATATCCCTGTCAACGGGCAACGGGGAAATTCCAAACTAAACTGCCACTAAGCTCTAGATATTGGCACCAAAACGATGCAAAATTTCATTGGCAGCAAATTCAGTGACATGAAGCAGTCTAAGAAGAATGTGGTTTTGTCACTAGCCAGTATGATCAGTAGCATTAAAGTCAATGTTAAGACAGTTACTATTAACCCTTTAACGATTTTCCAAAGAACTACTACTAATAGAAAAAAAGAACGACGAAGATGTTAGAGACCTTTTGACTTATGAACTAACGCCATTCCCCATGGCTCTGTTCCACGAGGGTGTAACGCGAAAAGGGAAGAAGTCATCCCTCTACGATGTTTTGCCAGTAGAGAACAACGCAGCTCTCGATCTAAACCAAACCAACAATATGGTAGATGGTGGTTTCCTACTACACCATATGAAATGGAAACCGTCCTCCAACGTTTCTTCGATTTGCCATCAGTACATTACTTACATAACGAAACATTACGGTCCAAATTGTATGGTGGTTTTTGATGGTTACAGTGATGTCAACAGCAAAAAACGATCAGAGCAGAAGCGACGAGGTCTGACTAAAACGTCGGTTGATATTATTTGTAACGAAAATACGATCATCACTGTTCAACAGGAGCATTTCCTCGCTAATGAGAAGAATAAAACGAGGCTGATTCTGTTCCTCACCGAGAAAATGACAGCAGCAGGGATTGAAATAACTGTTGCAACAGGAGATGCTGATGGTACTATTGTCAGGTGCGAGTTGGATAAGGCTGCCGTTCATCCAACTGTTGTAATAGTTGGGGAGGATGTTGACTTGATAGTCCTCTTCATGGGATTGGCTCCACCAAATATCAACCTGTTCTTTATGAAACCAGGCCGTGGAAAGGTGGAGACCAAATTGTTTTCAGTGCGACAACTTCAACAGCTTCCATTTGGCAAGACAATTCTCCTTCTTCACAGCTTTTCCGGATGCGACACCACCTCTGCAATCCATGGCAGGATCAAAGTGTGAATTGCTAAGCTGTTCACGGCTAGACCAGACGTGACCCAGTACATCTCAGACATTTTCAGTAGGATTTCAACATCATTGCGATGAGAGTATTGAACACGCTGGCATGAAACTGTTTCTGGCAATTTACCAAGCGCCTGTCCAGGTACAAAATCTCAATAAATACCGCTACTCAGCTTTTTTGAGAGCATCGATGAAGCCGAAATCAGATCTGGCCACTCGTCCTCCCACCAGAGGAGCTTCGAAGCAGCACTCGTTGAGAGTGTACTTACAGGTATTATTAATCACAATAGTTGTCAAATACTGTAATATAAATATATATTTGAGCTAAATACTTACGTTGATCTTATTACTTCTTTTACATATTATATAACAAGGGCTCGGCAACCCCCTCCCACCTACTCAATGGGGTTGGGCCAGAGGGACGATGGCATCCTAAAGCCGATGACAACCAACGATCCAGTGACACCTGACTCCATTCTCAACACCATATTTTGCCGATGCACGACTGGGTGTGGGGTGCGATGCGGTTGCCGGAATGCAGGAATTGCCTGCTCCAGTGTCTGCCGTGTATGCTCCGGCTCATGTACTAATGGAGCCCCCATCGAAAACACCGTCGACGATGATTTTGATGATGATATTTTAGATTTAGAAGATAATTAGATTTTTTTTATTTTATTATAGTCCATCTTCTTTTCTTCATATCTCATTAAATAGTGTCTTCAGCGAAAAAGTGTATAAAAACTTTTTTGTAGAAAATTTTATGTAGATTACTTGAGTAAAAGAAAATTTCTTGCTATGAGCCACCGTTTACGAGTTATTTAAGAAAAACTTAAAAAAGTGACCTTTACACCTCTCCCTACCCGTTAGCTTCACCCCCATCCATCAGTACTTTGAGTATGTTGTTTAAGACACCATTCCCTACAATTATGCCAAAAATTACTTTTACACGAGTTATTTCCCCTATTTTTCCTTCATTGAGTAGGCTATATGTTAATTCTGGAATTTCATGTAAAATTCACAACAATATTGGATCATTTGCGGCAAATCGGTAAAATAAAGAAACTTGAATAACAGCGAGATCACAGTGTCCAAGTTGGCATCATATTGCTCAATATATCAAATATCAAATAGATCGATCAAATAGAAAGGAGGGAATTTCAATTCGAATATTTACGTGCAATGAAAAGTGGACCCTATACGACCAATCGCAAGCGTTCATCACAGTGGTTAGATCATATTGGTGCAAAATGCCCAAAAAGAAAAAATCGCCAGAAGAAGCTTACGGTGACAGTTTGGTGATATACGGTTGTTGTCACAGTTACTGCTGACCATTATTCGACCATCAAACTTTCTGGTAAACAAAAATTTCAATTCTGAAGAAGCAGTAAAGAACGCTCTTAAAGAGTTCATCTATTCTCGTGTAGCAGACTTCAACAACAACATCAATAAAATGGCTAGGATGTGTCTGCTTAGGAAAAGATTTTAGTTAATTATATATTATACTACAATAAATTTTCTTTCAGTGTAGTGTAGTGACGTCAGAATAATTCGGTGTTTATGCTGATTGAAAGCCCTTCTCCATTGTTATACCAATTGATTAATTAATTTGCACCAACATTATTATGGCCTATCAATCATACGCAAAGAGCAACTGTTTTACTATGATTATGTGTTGAGAAAATCATAACATAGAATATCGTTTTAAATATAGCAGAATTAGCGTCGTAAAACTAACTGTAACTAGTGTACTGCGTGAGATTGACATTTGCAAATAAAGCCCGTGAATTTCCTCTGTACATAACAATTTTTATATCTACCTTGGTTGTTTTTGGTGGTTTACTAGAGGCACTATTTAACATTGGATCAAATAATAAAATAATTAGAGTGTGAGTCCATCGGGGCTTCCCAAGATGATATTCTACGAATAATCATACACTACAGACAGCTATAAAAATAAACATCAACGTAAGTCACGTGATTTATTTATTTATTTGTATGGATATGCAACAGTTGTAAATATTAATAATTAATCTACAAATTACTATGTACTACCAATTATATGGGGACACGTCATCCTATAACAATAACAATGTTTATAATTTGTTTTTAAAAAAAATGGTAGCAATTTTAATGGTAGTTGGAACAAAAAAAAGTTTAACGAATAAAATATATATAAAATAGTTTATGTAACAAAAATAAAAGTGAATTTTCTATTGCATTAACGAACTTTGAATGTCATCTTGGCCAGCCCTGCTGGATTTGTTACGATTGTTTTTTTATTTCTAAATACGTTTATATAATTAAAGCATTGTAATTCTAACGTCATACAGAAACAGAGTAAAAGTTACGACGTGAAGGTCGTGTGAACAAGAACACTCGTCCCCGAACAATGCCTTCGAGACATTACCGACATAGAGTAACTTGTCTTTTAACCTTTGGCTAATGCACTGTCTATCCACACTGATAGCCAAAACTTGTAATTAGTCTGTGATTAAACGCCGAAACGATGCAGCGTGCTCCCACGATCTCCGATACGTTTCTCAGAAGTCACTACTCAGATTTATGGCTAAAAGGTTTTAGATGTGATAATTATATGTAAGGGGATGAGTGATAGCTCGTCACTTTTTTCACGTCCGAGGGTAGAAGTATACAAGGGCGAATTGTTTAGTGCGATAATGTAGCTGGTTATTAAGATGGAGGCAAGCTGGCTGCTAAATCATCGAAGGCGACAACTTAAAGAAAGGACTATACCAATATACAAAAAACCAAACTTCTCTTAAACTGTATCTCTTGCAAAACGGTAAATTTTAATAAAATTATTTAAGTACTACAATGATTTTAATGTTAAATTGGACATATCGCTTTATAAATTGGACATTATTATCCTTAAATGTAGAAGTTAGAATATAAGATTTCTTCACTAAATGTCAACCTTATTTGCAGTTGATGCACTTTACTGATTGCTATACAAGTCTGTAATGATGAGTCTGGCTTTTTCGAAAATGATAAACCAACATCTCACAAACTGGTGATAAAAAATAACAGTTCCAGTAAATAAGTATATGCTCTGCAATTTTAGGGGTGCTGAACCTATACCCGCCTGCCTAGAATTGTTTCTATATATATACTCGCACAAACTCGTACTTGAAAATGCTTATGTCTAGTGCAGTGGTTCTAAAAGGATAAAAAATTAAAAGTAAATGCATTTAAATACTAAAGAAAAGAAATCCGTATTAAATTAAAAATTCAGTGAGTAAAAGAAAATAGTTACAATTCTTAAAGTAACTCAACACACAAATAAGATTAAATCGATTTAAATTAGCAATTATCCTCTCCATGATGCTTAACATGGAGGTTGATCGTTTTAAATTAAAGTTAAGGAGCGGTCATTAGGGCGCCGTCCATTTGCGAGGGCTTCTGTTACACCTTTTTGTGGCGAACGAAGTGCGGCTTGATTACTTGCCGATAATGTATCTACGTTACGCATCTTTGGATAGAATGTTAAATACAGGATGTTTTAAACGTTTTTCTAACACTGAATCTTACATTTCTTCAACAATAAATTTCATGACAATATAATAAAAATATATTAGAGATAACAATTCATTGTGTTGACAATCAAATATGACGCTTAAATAACAGTAATTTAACAAAAACTGAAATAGTATTTTTTTTAATAAGATAAGGGTTACAAACGAGCACACAGTCCACCTGATGGTAAGTGGTTGCTGTGGCCCATAGACATCTATATCTATCCTCAATTACGAATCAAAATGCATATGCGTTGTCACCCGTGAGGACTAAGATGGAATGCCTCGTTTCTCGTAAAAAGGGTGTCCGGTTCTCTACACACACCATATGAAACACAGCAGCGTTAAGCTGCTATTTATAGCGCCATATGAAAATTAACTACACCACTTCATCTCGTGGATATCGTTCTACTAAAGAAATGGTCAGAAAGATCATATGACCCTGACCCGACAGATGGCTACGAACTATTGTATATGCCAGATATAAAATATCCAGATCGATGATGGAAGGCAGTGTGAAATACGATTGCCAATTTGCTAAATGAACTTTGAAAAAAAACCCTGTAGAAAGTTTGACTTTGAACAAAAAAGTTAGTAATGTTAGTAGTTTGGAATGTTAAGCCCACTAAAATTAGTAACTTTAAAAGTATCGACAAAACTAAAAGCAAACATGCTTTAACACGGTTCAAATAAAATGCGTCAGACTTGTCAAAAAGACGTAGTGGTCGCGTCAATCAACTAGTCGACTTACAAAGGCAAACAAAAAATAAAGTTATCGCCAATTATTGCAGTTTTACCCTTAATGGATTTTGCTTGTATAATGATTGTGAAATATCTATTAGAAATAGTTCATTCGGCTTTGTTTTAAACGGAATGATGTTTGATTGCGGAAGATAATGGAGAATACAGTTCAAAATACTGGCAGGTTAGAAACTAAGTTCTGACTGACTACCGTTAGCAAAGCTTTCGTTGACTAATATTTTTTATACTGTTCATAGCTACAAAATTGTAGCCATCCACTGAACTGTAAGCATCATAGGTTTGAAATAGAAACGAAAGTTTATATGTATAAATGTATGTAATACATAATATTAATAAATCTAGTTTTTAGGTACACCCATACCTGACAACTAGATTTATTTACGTATCTCCAAAATTATATCCCAACATTCCCTCAAACAACATGATTTTTTCCAGCTTTCTCTATTTTTGCCATGATTATCACCATCTCAACCTACAACCACTGACCGTTTTACGCAAAAGTTTCGACAAATTTTCACTCTAGTTTTTGATTAACAATTTGAACAACTTAACAAAAAATTTGGACAAATATTTGTGTAAAAAAACCTCTTTAACTCTATTAATTCGCTCTTATCGTAGTTTAAAATGCGCTTGTCTTACAGTCTATAGAAGAAGGATTTGTCATAATTCCCACATTTAGTGGACGAATTTGCAAAAACAGTATCAGAT